CGTTGGTGGCTACAAATAAGCTACGAGGATAGCCGCATAGTGGACGACAGGTGCCCATAAAGGGGGTCTGGAAGGCGCTCGAGGCAGATGTCTCGGATAGTAAGCCGGAGAAACGAGAGGTATCATTAAGCAGTTCCGCTGCGCCGTCACCGCGAGCGATGGCAGAAAAGGCGACGACTGGAAAGCGCTTGTAGCCTTTAACGGAGGTGGTGGTCGAAAGAGTCCAGTCCATGTCTGCAGAAGTCAAAAAGTGGGTGGCATGCAGTACAACGCAAATTGAGAGAGTTTATGCAGTATTACTTTTGTTCAAGGAGGCCGGAATCAGAGTGCAACATTACAAGAACTTTACTTCCCCATCTTAACTAGAGTTTATACCTCTGGAAAACCGATCAAGTTATTAACGTTGCACTGCAAATACTGAGAACTACGAGGTTATCAAGGAAGAAGATGTAATAACCTGAATAAAGGTGGCTACTTAATGGGCAACTCCAACAAGTTTCTGGAGTGTAACAGATTTGCGTAATTGAATGTTTCACTAGAAGAGGTTTGGGAATGTTGAAGAAGACCTTTTACTCCGAAACTTCTCGCGCAGATCGCAGAATAAGGATATTTCAGTAGTTGTATATAACTGTCACACACAGTCGGCAAAAACTATGTGGCTGAGACAAAGTAACTTATAACATGTAAACACCGCAAATCTTTCGAAAATATTATTTAACTTGATTTTTGAAGATCCTAAAAAGGTAAATTCGCGTAATACGCTCGAAGAATTTAAAATAGCAGTATGAAAAAGCGAAAAATTGATGAAAACACGCAAAGTATTGATTTTGAAGAACATCTAGAAAGCTAGAGCAAGAGCAATGCGATAGAGCTTAGGAGATATGTATGCATTACACTTTATTGTCGGAAATGAGAGTTTAAGGAATAAGTGATGAAGCAAACTACATCCTATATAAACTTGCCAGCAATATTCTGACAACAAGAAGAGCAGACTCGAAGTTTGAAGATGATTTCAGATCGGGATATTCTATCATATTCATCTATCTCGGCTACTAGGCGGGATAGTTTTCTTCAGTTCTGCCTTGAAGCCCCGGTCAATAGTTTGTTACAGGCTGACTCATAATGATGAGAAGTCAATAAATGACAAGTCATACTGACAAAAAGGGGATCTCAGGCGGACTATTTCGGGTTAATTTACCGCCATCAGTTCTCCACCTTCACCCAGTGGTCCCACAAAGGAAACTGCCAAATGAGGCAGCAATCCCTCAGCGACCTGAAACACAGTAGGCAAAACAGACACAATAGACCTGTTCGACGGGGCAACTCAGAAAACGTTAAGGGCGGGGGAGGGATCGGTGGCCTGAATGGACATGGACTTTAAAAGTAGGGCGATGCCAGTACATACCGCGCGCAGGGGCCTGATTTTTCAACGCTAAATCGGTCAAACGACAGGCTGATCTTCCTCGATTACATCCCGATATAATGCGGAGATGAGCAAGTTGTCACTGCGCTCTTTCGTTTTTGTTCAAAATAACCGAAAAACGGAATGAAGGTGTTACCGTAGCCCCTGCAAACTGTCCCACAGCAATAAGGGAACGGTCAGTTCTGATTTATTTACTGTCGTTAGTTAGTCACATCAAAAGATAAGTTGGGAAGTTCGAATGTAGATTCAGTTGTAGACTGATACGTACCCGCCCACGAAGCCAAGGGCTCACATGACAGTTAGCACTTGCGATGCGAAGCTGATTAGCGCCAAATCCAAGTAAATAATA